CAGCAGACATCAATCAAAAAGCTTGACCTGTTGCTGTATGGCACCATGCTATGTCAAACTAATACCTTCAGTATGTGCCAGTAGCCTGCGTGGTAAGCGCACTGCATATGCAGCAGCTCATGGCCTTGTCTGAAGTAAGAAAGGAAACAGCCATCAGTTGAGTCGAGGTGCGCTGCTATCAATCAGAGGTTGCTGGTATAATCAATCAAGGGCAGTCCAGGGGCTTGGGCACAGTCAGTTGCTGGCTTAGGGCTGTCAGCGTCATGTGGTCAGTCTCACTACTATCCAGGGAGCGGGCCACAGTCAATCCTGAAGAGTTAGGGGATTCACAGATCATCAGCCAAGGAGTTGCAAAAGGAGTGTTTACGGGTGGTCAGTCATCACTCTGTCCGATTCAGTCAGGAGGCACAGCAATGGTCAGTCCTGGGGGGGTCCTGTGATGTCCTATTGGGGAGGCAACGCCCTAGTGGTTTTGTCACTGGACTGTTAATCCAGAGACCCAGATAACATTCTGAGGACCTGGGTTCGAATATCACCACGGCAGATGGTGGAATTTGAATTCAATAAATATCTGGAATTAAGAGTCTACTGACGACTATGAATCCAGTGTTGATTGTCAGGAAAAACCCATCTGGTTCACTAATGTCCTTTAGGGAAGGAAACTGCTTATCCTTATCTGGTCTACATGTGACTCCAGACCCACAGCAATGTGGTTGACTGTTAACTGCCCTCTGGGCAATTAGGGATGGGCAATAAATGCTGCCTGGCCAGCGATGCCCTCATCCCATGAATGAACGAATGAATGAATAAAGAATGAAGTTGCTGGAATGAATGTCATGGGTGTGTATTAGAGGACACTTGCAGCAAGGAGGTGATAGGTGAATTCAACGCTGGAGATTAGAGGCAGCAGCCTGGGATACAAAAGGTACAAAGACAGAAGAGGGAAAATTTGATATATGGGGTGGAGGTGAGAGAGAGAGCGAGCGAGAGAGAGAGCTACTCGTTCATGGGAGGATTTAGGATGCTGTGGGAGGATGTGGTTGATAGGCAGTCATCAGTATTACTATTTCAGCAGAGGAACTTGTGGAGTGTGATGTTGGGGAAAATGCTATTATAAAAGACATAATAACAGAATATTGAAAAATGTTAATGGGATTAGTCAAACCAGTATACGTTAATGAAAGGCAAATTATGCATCACAAATCTAGCAGAGCTTCTTAAGGATGCAACTAATAGAATAGATAAAGGAGAACAAGTGGATATAGCATATTTGGATTTTCAGAAAGATTTTGATAAGACCCTTCGTATGGGCAAAGTTAAAGCACATGGGACAAGGGGATAATATATTGGCATGGATAGAGAATTAATTGACGGGCAGAAAACAGAGTGTGGGAATAAATGGGTTTTTATCTGAGTGGCAGGCTGTGACTAGTGGGTTATCACAAGGATCAGTGTTTGAGCCCCACTATTCATGATAAATACAAATGACCTGGATGAAGGAACCAAATTCAACATTTTTCAGTTTACTGATGTCACAAAACTGGATTGAATTGTAAGGAGGATGTCCATTCTTTGAGGAGGACTATTGTGAAGTATACGATTGCCCTCCTGAAGATAAGGTTCTACTGCTTGGAGCCATCCCATTAGTCCTTGCAGTACAGTCTGGACAGTGTGCTCATCATCCTGGCGTGCTGTGCTCCACATAATTGGAGCAGGCAATGAAGCACTTTGCTGGAAGCTGAGGAACAGGGGGAGCAGGAGCAGTTTTCCAAGAAGAAGGTACATCACCTCATAGTGATAGATTACAGCAATATGAGGTGCCATAAGCTAGGTAGGACTTAATGGACAGCTGATGCCAGAAAATGAGAGCTGTGTGCAGTAATCAATCATTGACTATAAAACTGTTAGTGCTCAACATGCAGGCAGTTTGTGTTCTGAGAGACAATTGCAGCTTATGTTTGTTTAATTTCTGTTTGCTTGTGGTATTTATAAATGAAAGTAAATCTTTTGAAGGCTTGCCTCTTTGTACTGATAAGATGCTGGGATATACAGGGCATTTGGGAAAGTGTAGCGCAAAATTAGGGACCCTTATAAGATCGGATATGGCATAGCCTGGTATTTAAGCACCTACAGGTGTATGAATGTGCATTTGTATGTGCAAGAACCTGTCAGCTACTCACCTTGAGAAGTGCTGGTTTGTGACTGCTATGTCATTATGTTGTTGGTGAAAGGCAACTGGGTAATGCCAGTGCTTGACTGGCAGGTGGCAGGGGTTCCAAGATGGCTCCAGCAGCAGGAATGCTGGGATATTGTGGTAGTGGCAATGTTTTTCAACTATGGAGAGTGTGAGAATAGAGTTAGCATTGGATGAGAATGGTGTCATGGGGCATGGTAGATAGTTAACAAGGCATATTTGGGATGATAGCAGAGAAATGCTCGTTTGAGGGAGCTGATGGCCTAGCAGTATTATCGCTAGATCATTAATGTTAGAGGAGGGAACTGCTAATGTAGGTGGGAAAAATGCAGGCCACCAGAGGGGGAAGCTCTTTATAAGAGATTTCAAATGTTAAAGAGAAAAAGTGGTCAGACTACGATTGTGGAGGGGTAGCCTCACTATCAGTCCATAGCTATAGCCATCTGCCATAAGGTTGGGGGAGTGGGCTATAATCATTAAGACATCAATGGTGTCTTAGTCTGCTGTGAACAGGCCACATCAAATCATTGACTGTACATTGACCTCAGCCAGAGGCAGCTGCTCGCTGGAAGATTCCAGACCATTTGTCTCAATAGGCAAATTAATTAGGGGAATTAGCTACCTGTTGTAGGAGGGCAGCTAGTTTTCACCCACTACTGCCTCCTGAAGCACAACCATGGCAGCAGACCGGTCAGTCAGCTGGTGGTGGAAAATTGCTGGTACAGACATCTCTGAGGCCCTTTGAAAATCCAACCCCTTAACTCTGTTTTTCTCTCTCGCACAAACACTGCCTGACCTGCTGAATATTTCCAGCACTTTTGTTTCCTTTTCAAATTCCCAGCATCCACGATGTTTTGCTTAGGTATTTAATAGTTAATTGATTCTCATGCTTTCACTGCAAAGAAAATTTCATTTAGGTTTATAGACAAGAGTGTTGATTGAAAGGATAAAGTGCACGTACAATAAGCATTCAACACTTCTTGACACCTCAATCAGTTCGCACTTATCTGAATACTACACCATATAGTATGCTACTCATGGACAATAAAGCTTTCTTGATGTGGCAGGACAGACACAACTGATTGATTCATCACTGAAGACACTCACCTTTGTTTATTTTTAAGTTATACCCTCAAACAATATAATACTTTAAGTCATTAATTGAGAAAGATCAAAAGAGAACCTGTTGATGTAACCCAGCGATTTGATTACTGGTGAGATTTAAAATGGCTTCTGTTGACAATGGCCAGGGACTGCAATAATAGGGTACAAATAAGAAAACATTCTTAATAAAGACATTCAAATAAAATACTTTGCTTGTATGACTGTCGTATCAACAAATCAACAAAACATATTAAATCTCTGTTTACTTAAATGCAATCTGCAGAATGTTACTGCTTTAGACGCCAGGGGAAGGATTTTGTGATTTGTGTGTGTTCCAATCACACAAAATAACAATGATGCCAGTCATAAGGAAGAAAGATTACCATTATTTGCACCAAGTGCAAACGTTTTGGAATTTTAGTAATTCTGACATTTCACTTTTAAAGGACAATTTTAATGACGGTGAAGACAGAGTTTGGCTGTGAGGTGAAATATTGAGGGAGTAGATTGGCAGCTGGCTTCAACTTGCTGACTTCTGCATTTTTTATTTCTTTTCTCAGAATGTGCACTTCAGTGGCTAGGCAAGGAATTATTTTCCATTCATAATTGGGCAGTGGTGCTAATTGAAGCACATGTGGTGTAGGTAGACCTACATTGTTATTTGGGAACAAGTTCCAAGATTTTGACAGGATTTTGTGATGATGTTGAGCTTCTTGAAATTTGTTGAAGCTGTGCGACCATGGCAGAATAAAATACCTAAATGGGCTTAATAAGCCTTTGGTCAAAGAAATCCTTTGCCTGCCTAATCCATCTCCCCATCTAGTGTCCTTGTACTAAAGACATTGACTTTTCCTGAGAGAGTACATTTGAATCCTCTAGTTGCCTTGCTTAGCACCCTCCCTCACCATTGCTGTCAATGAGCAGGTCATTGCTGTGCAAGTGTCACTTGATAGCACTGTTGGCACTATCTTCTATCACTTTGTGAATAATGGAGAAGAGATTGCTGAGTTAATTTTTTCCCAGGTTGGGTCTGCCCTGCTTGTTGTGGACAGGCTACACCTGAGTCATTTTCTATATTACTGGGCAGATGCCAGTGTTTGGCTCCACCTGACATACATCCAACATCCACATGCGAAAGCCAATCTTTTCTTCCTTAAAAGAAAACAAAGAACTGTGGATATTGGAAATCTGAAACAAAAACAGTGAAAGCTGGAGAAATTTGACAGGTCTGGCAGCAGCTGTGGAGTGAAAGCAGAGACAATATTTTGGGCTCAGTGACACTTGTTCAGAATGCTCTTCCTAGTCTTCTTCATCCTACCATCATACAAGTTCCTAAGATAGTCATATAAATATCCAAGCCTTTCTTTCACAACCTTGCACTACTTGGCATCAATTTATGTCTTCCCATTCATTGTTACATAACTGGTTGCGAGCAAGAAAACAATAATGATAAAGGTAGGAAAGTTGTGCACAGCAACAATGTTTATGTGGCTTTGATATAAAACATGAACTTAAGAATCTAACAGCATGCAACTCCATAACTTTACCCTTTTTAAAAAATTTCTATTTGGTGCTAAACCATTGTATGACAAAAGATTTGTACACACCAAAGGCCCAAGTAAGGATTCCTTATTCTACTGTCATCTTATCATTACAAATGTGAAGGGAATATGAGATGAAGCAACAAAGACACAATACCTACATGGACTTAAGCCTTTGGTCAAAGAAATCCTTTGCCTGCCTGATCCCATCTCCCCATCTGGTATCCTTGTACTAAAGACACTGACTCTTCCCAAGAGGGTACATTTGAACCCTCTAGTTGCCTTGCTTAGCGCCCTCCCTCACCATTGCCACCTGTTGGTGAGGGTCACTCCACATGTCCCAGCTTGAAACTTGCTGTCCCAGCAACTGGACATAGCAAGCAGTTGCGTGATGAGCAAGTTCAATTGCACCACGATGGCAAGAATGCTTAGTTTCACATTTGTGGCAGCAGTCTCTCCTTGAATTACTGATCTGGACAAATGCTAAGGAATAAGGTGCTAGCCAACATTTTTTTTGTGAGGAGACAAAAAAACTGCAGATGCTGGAATCCAAGGTAGACAAACAGGAAGCTGGAAAAACACAGCGAGCCAGGCAGCATCTGGAGGAAAGGAAAAGTCAACAAAGGGTAATACCTGAAACGTTGACTTCTCCTTTCCTCCAGATGCTGCCTGGCTTGCTGTGTTCTTCCAGTTTCCTGTTTGTCTACCATTTTTTTGAGAGGAACTTTTCAACCTTATCTGTGTTGACATCTTCAAAGGTATCCAGGCTCTGTAATGGATAACCTATTTAGGGGCCTATGATGGCCAGGTCTCCAGGGGTGTCATATGTCTGGCGTTACTAGTTGCTTCAGTTTCTGAACTCTGAAAATCATCCCTGCACCAACTTCCAGGACAGGAGTAACCCCGTTACACTGGCTGCACCCCCTGGATATACAATATGTAGGTTATTCCAGGGTTCCTCTCTGCTATTGAACTACACTTCATTTCAGTCATAACACATCAATACTTCAGGTCTTGCTACAAAGCTGATTGAGCTGCTTGCTTCCACATCATCCACCTGGCCTCTAGTAACTCCTCTCTGTGAACCATTATCTAATGTTGGCCTCAGCTGTTGGTTTAACAACATAGGTGTGGTCCTCTGTTTCTAGCTGCCTGATGACTCTGTTGGGTTTAGGATCCCACATATCCTATATTTTATTCATACGTGTTCTGATTTCAGAGGTATAACCTTGTGCCAGTTAGAAGGTCAGTCCTGTCAGCCTTGTGACTGTTCATGGTTATTCTTCTAAGTGCTTTTCTCTCAGTCCTATCGGATGCCAACTTGAATGCATGGCCGAGCCTCATGTGATGCTTAGTTATCTATTCTTTGACCTGGCTCTTCCCATCAAACTTGGTGGTGATTCCAAGGAGATGGTCCATGGAAAGGACTGGGTTCCATCCAAAGAAGAGATATGTGGAGAATAACCCATGGATGAGTGGGCTGTATAGGCATAAACCAGCTCTGCTCAATACTCAGGCCACTTCTGTTTACTCCCAGGCACCAAATGTGCAGACTGTCATGTAGAGTATAATTGAATCATTCACACTGTCCGTGACCCTCTGAATAGTGGGAACTGTTGGGAGGAGTAGAGCAGCTCTTGGCAATGCCTCAGACCTTGCAAAGCTCTAGTAGCTTCTTGCCCTGGACATTACTCCCCTGATCACTGTGAATCCAATATGGAATGGACAAACCAATCACACACTATGTTCTTAGTTGAAGCCTTTTGGTCATGGGTGGGGATGGCCTGTTTGAATTTAGTGAAGACAGCTGCGAGTCACCTTCAGCTATGTCATCAATGACCTTCCCTCCATCCTAAGTTCAGAAACAGGAATGTTCGCTGATGATTACACAATGTTCAGCACCATTCACAACTCCTCAAAGACTAAAGCAGTCCATGTTCAAATGCAACAAGATCTGGACAATATCCAAGCTTGGGCTGGCAACTGGCAAGTAACATTTATGCCACACAAATGATAGGCAATGACCATCTCCAGTAAGAAACAATTTAACCAACTCCCTTGACATTCAATAGTGTTAGCATCACTGAATTCTCCACTATCAACATCTGGAGGGAGTTATCATTCACCAGAATCTCAACTGGACTCACCATGCAAATACAGTGGCTACAGGAACAGGTCAGAGGCTAGGAATACTGTGGCAAGTAACTCACCTCCTGACTCCCCAAAGCTTGTCCACCATCTACAAGTCACACGTTAGGAGTGTGATGGAATACTCTCCACTTGACTTGATGGGTACAGACCTAAAAACACTTAAGAAACTTGACACTATCCAGGACAAAGACCCCTCTTGATTAGCACCACATCCACAAACATTCATTCCCTCCACCACCAATGCTCAGTAGCAGCAGTGAGGACTATTTACGAGATGTAATTGACTAGACAAGAGCCCCTGCAAAAATATATTATGGAGATAGCCTAGACCCTTACATTTATATTTTTTTAAAAGGCACCATGTTCCAGCCATGATTCAATTGGTCCACCATTAAGATTTAATCAAAACACATTATTTTTACAACACTGGTAAAATACAAGAAAAAGAAGAATTGGCATAATTTTATTCCATTGAAATACTTAAGAAGATAATGTATTATTTCATCACTAGTCATCAACCTGTTCTCTCTCTTCAGTCCAGTAGAATGAAGCACTGAAATTAAAAAAAATGGCCCTTTTGATTATAGAGGAAGCCTCTCTGTTTAAGACTCTAGCTACTCTAGCTACTCTAGCAGCAGACAAACTCAAGCCTACAGCTCCAGCAACCAGAAAAAACCTACTTGATGAACTGAAAGCAAAAGCTAAAGTCTCTGGGTCTATGTGAGCCTGACCCTGCCCACTCATGATTCATATGTCTTTTAAAAAAAAACACCCAGGGAGAACTGCCCATCTGAAAGAGACATTTTGGTACCACTGTCACAACACCCATCTGCAAAAGAAACGGGACTCAACAGGATCATTTAAAGGCACAATATTGTCACAACGATGCACTGTAGAAATTCATCAATAAATTGAAACTGACTAAGTTCAATGACCCGTTAGGTCTCCGTTGCTCCAAACGTGGCGGATGTTTGAAAATAACAGAGTGGGTTATTGTCTCTAAACAATATAAGCTCTGTGCCAATCAGAATGTCTCTGAACTTGTGGGAAATGTCAAATCAAAATTAGCACTTTAGGTTTCATGCTGGAGTAACAATACCATTCATAGGCCAAGAAAACCAGTGTTGGTTTCCAGTAAGAGGGGAGCTGGAAATCTTGGCGAGCCAAAGATAGATGACAATCTTCCATTTGAGGGTACAAAGTGATTTTTCCTAAATAGAAGTCCAACTTCCTCTGATGCTTCATGAAGTATAAAGATTTGTGTATCGTTTCCTAACTACTGCTTCAGGATTCTCTGATTTCCTCAGTGTGTCATGTAGTTGAATGGCCAACTGTGTGTAGCCTTGCACAAACCTCCTGTAGTGACCAGCTAGATGAAGGAACCCAAACAGTTCCCTTTCTGTCTTAGGCCAGGGCCATTCCTCTACCACTTGAATTTAGTCTTCGTCAAGATTGTACCTTGCTTGGTTCCCAAGATACAGTACTTTTGTTCATAAAAGTTGTTAGTTCTCTGGTTTGACTTTCAAGTTAATCATGACAAGTGGGGTAAGATGGTGTCCACTATTTCAAGGACCTCCTCAAAATGTTAAGCTGAGCATGAGTACGAGTACATCATTCCCAGTATGCAAGGAGGGTGTGGAAACTAAGATGCTTTATCCATTACACACGTGAGTGAAGGTGATGGGTGTATTACTGAGCCCAACAGCATTCTCATATCTTCACAAAGTACTCCATTGCCCTGTGCTTTTCAATGTCTTGTTCAAGGCCAGGAACTGATCATAAACATGGGCCAAATTGACACATATTAAGAAAATACTTTGGCAGTGCCGATGGTGGTGGGTGTCATGTTCAGATAATGTGGTGTGCTATGCTGGAAAGGTTGTGCATGCAGATGTGCCATGACTGAACCAGAATGTCAGGACATCAAACAGGCATTCGAGCTGATATGGCATTAGCTTCAAGAATGTGATATGCACATCTCCAATGAATAGCCATGTCAATCACTCCCGGCTGAACGCGCAATCCATAGTGCAAAGGCATACTGTGCCCCACCCCCAAACACCTCACTACTGTAATTGAAAGGGTCAGGCACCAACTTGTGGGTGAGGTGCTTTTTGTAGAGTAATGAGGTTAGCATCAGAAGGCTATATAATGTTAACATAATAATAATGTCAGGGTCACACGAGCACTTAGAGAGATCTGAAAAGGACAGAAGCTCTGACTCCTGATGTAAAGAGCTAGCTACAAATAAAGAGCTTTTGTGTGAGAAAAACTAGAGTCAAGAATTATACCTGTGGGAGATTGAACTGAGAATAAGCAACAAAATGTCTTAAGTTAGTTCTGCTTAGGCTCAGTTTGTGTTTGGGCCAGATGCTGCTCAAAATGAAGAAAAAATGCAAAATTTTATGAACAATGTGTGGGGACAGTGATTGCAACATCTCTGTGTCTTAACAGCCCTCCTTCTGCCTGGCATTCCATTTCATATACTCCATGTGTGGAGTTACAGCAAAAGTATTCAATAGCAGCTTCTTGTGATTGACTTCCATGTACCTTTAAGGGGGACAGACTGACTTATTTTTAAATCCAGAAGTGCTCTTATATACAACTGAATGTTTTTTCCTGCCATCACCAAATCACATGTGATTTTTTTTCTACCTATTAATCATCGCCAATAAATCTCTTGTGTTTTGCAATTGATTAATCTATGCACAAAGACCATTAAGGGCAGATCATGAAAGGTGAGAGAGAGGTAGGGAGAGGGCAGGAATGAGGAGAGGGGTAGGGGGCTAAATCAAAATAGACTTAGAAGGAGAGTTAAAGTCTTTTTTTAAGAGCTGGAGTCGAACTGCAATACCTGCTAGCTTTGCATCCCATTAAATTCCCAGTTTGGATGTAGCCCATTCCAGAAGTGCAAGTCAGGCTGTGTGGAAAATATCAAAACATACAGGAATATAGGACCAAGAGTCAGCCATGTAGCCGCTTGAGTTTGTTCCAGCATTTAATGAGATTATGGTTGATCTGCCACCCAACTCTGTATATTCAGCTTTCCTTCATATCCTTTTAATACCTTTCATATAAAAAGTAGAGTAATTTAT